TTGAATATGAGTTCCTTGAGGACAGTTGTAAATTCTTAATTTACTATTTGTGTGCAGCAGGTGTCACAGTACCTGGCTCTCCAAAAATATCTCCTGCATGAGCACAGATAAACTCCCCTGGGACAGAACCTCTGCTCAGCAGAAAGCTGGTACCCGAAGCAGGGTTTGGCTTCTGGTAAGGACCTATCTGAAGGCTGTTAAATTAAAAATGCTAGGAGCTACTGTGAGTCAGGTATGCCCTTATAATTTCTCAGTTTATTTAATCCTTAGGATAGCCTAATAATTGGGAATTAGTGCTGCCCTGCGGCCAGCAGCATAGACCACTGGCAGAGGAGAACTTGCCTAGTGTGAGAGGCAGCAAGCAGCAGCCAGGAAAAGAATGGACTCCTTAAATGACCGGGATGAGATTTCTGAACTTGAAAATTTTTTTGGTTTTTCAAGTTCAGAAATATTACTGAACTTGAATTTTCAAATTTAGGGATATTGTGGAATATTCCTTTACACCATGTGACTATATACCACTGTGATTGGTTCAGTTAAGAAGCTGACTGGCCAATAGCTAGACAGGTGGATAGACAGGAGAGCCAAACAGAGAACACTGGGAAGAAGGAGGCCAGAGTCTGAGGAGTCTCGAGCAGACACAGAGAAGCAAGACGTCCCGAGAAAAGGTACCAAGCCATGTGGCAAAACATAGATAAGAAATATGGGTTAATTAAGATATAGGAGTTAGCTAGTAACAAGCCTGAGCTATTGATCAAGCATTTATAATTAATATCAAGATTCCATGTAGTTATTTGGGGACTGGCAGGACAGAAAAAACTCTGCCTACAGAATATTTTTTTATCAACCATAAAGGTGATTCTACATATTATACTTGTTAGGGTCAAGAAAACATGTAGATTAGTTTGTTTTAATTTTAGTAGTAAAGTTTTCTTGATAATATCATGCACTATGTATTCACTTAAAGAAAAACAAACCCTGAGAAGTTAAAATAAATTTTTGCTTATTTTCTCATCACTTGGAAATAATCACTATCGACCTTGTTAAGCCTTAATCCCTTAAGTTTTCTCTAGTGTATCAGTTTAATGGCTGACATCTCCCCTACTTCGTTTTCTACTGCTGTGATAAATAGCAGCTTAGTGATTGCACTCCATACTTGAGGGAGGGCAGGGCAGGAATCAGGCAGAGACCATACAGGAATGCTGCTTACTGGCTTTCTTCCTACAATTCAGGACCACCTTGCCATCCCTCATCAATCATCGATCAAGAAAATGTGTAGTCTGAGGGAGGGGTTTTCTGAACTGAGTTTCCCTCTTTCTACAAGACCCTACCTTTTGTCAAGGTGACAAAGCTTTAACCAGTACAACATCATTTTATATTATAAAATTATTGTAGCTTAATAAAATTATATTAAACAGATGTGCCGTCCACCATATTCTGTAAATACTCCTTGAACTACTTTCACTTTTAAACTCATGCATGCTTCTCAGTTTGAAAAGTTAGTTTATAATGCTGTGGAGGTGGTTCGGTTGCTACGTAAGTGTGAGCACCTCACCTCAGACCCCTAGCCTCCACATAAAAGTTGGTCACAGCAATGTCACCTGTCATTCTAGGATTGGGAGTGTGGAGAAGCTGAGACAAGGGGATTCCTGGAGCTCATTGGCCAGGGATCAGTGAATTCCAGGCTCAGTGAGAGACCCTGTCTCAAAACATAAAGTAGAGAGTGATCAAGAAATCCAATGGCGACCTCTGGCCTCTGCAGCCATACAATTAGTCTGTGACTGTAACTTCTGGCCTTTCAGAAAACCTAGACAATGTCTGTGCTTAAGCAGGGTAACAATCTCCACTACAGTACAGAGATGATGTCTTCCCTTTTTCTCTAGTGGCTTCTCAAAGTAAAAGCTAAGTGGATTTAGCTTCCCCTGGTGTGAGGAAGGACCCCTCCTCAATAGAAACAATACTCAAATCCCCTGACTTGCGCTGTGCTCACGCTGGCTCACAATGTATCCTATGACTTCTTGCTTTGTTGTTTTCATCCTCGGTGAATGATATGGGGCCTCAGTTTTCTCCTCCAGAGCAGTGGCCTTGTCACCCTGCTGGGAGGATTTAACAGGAAACAACATAGGTAAACAACTGGCACAAGGGGCCTCTGCTGAGTGTCAACCTCCTGTGCAGGAGTCCAAAGAAGGAGGACAACACCACTTATTAGTACCCACTGCAAATTCTCACTTCCGTTCTCAGAGGAACACAGAACTTCAGGCCATGTTTGTAAACTCACACGCAACGATGTGGTTTGATTCCTGACCACATTGAGGTGAGAGACGTCCCACCCCCTTCCGATTTCCCCATCTCGGCCCGCACTCCAGCGAGCATTTCTTTCCGCTGCCTTCCTTACAGTAACTCTGCTGAGTCCCCCTTCCCAGTCTGCCTGTCAGTGCTGTCCTCTGAGTGGAATCTCTGATCTCAAATCCTGCTCAGAAGCTTGCTCATCTAGGTCAAAATTGGTGGTTTTCCAGGCCCATCACCACCTACCTTAGCCCCCTATGCCCATTCCAACTTGTTTCCTTGCTATTAGGAGTAGATTTTTCCGCTAGTCTGGTCCCACCGCCATGCCAGCTCCAAATAACACACTGAGACTCTGTATTAGATATAAAGCTGTAGGCCAGTTACTTGTTTCTTATCGGCTAGCTCTCTCTTAAATATTAACCCGTTTCTATTAATCTAACTATTTCCATGTGGTCTTATCTTACTGGAGAGAGGGGCTGGCGTTCTGCTCTCTCCGTCCTCCATCTTGGATCTCCTCCCTAGTACTTCCTCTCTCCTCCTAGTCTCCTAGTCCCGCCTATCTTGCTTCCCTATTGGCTTTATAGGGCTTTATTCACTAACCAATAAGAGAAACATATTTACAGAATGACACCTCCCATCATCTTGCATTGTCTACTTCACCATCTACAGTCAGAACAGGCTGAAGTTTACCTCAGATGAGTTATATCCACGAGGAGCAAGCCAGTAAGCAGCTTCCCTTTATGTCCTCTGTATCAGCTCCTGCCTCCAAGATCCTGTCCTGTGAGTTTCTGTCCTGACTTCCTTCAGTGATGAACAGCAATGCTGAAGTGTAAGCCTAATAAAGCCTTTCCTCCCCAGCTTGCTTTATGGTCATGGTGTTCTGATGCAGCAATAGAACCCTAACTAAGATACCATGCTTTTATTCTCCACTCAAAGTCTAGCCTCTTTAGCATATAGTCATATACTAATCATAATTTCTCCTTGGTAAGCATGTAATTTCAACAGACTGTTTCCCCTTATCAGTGTCACCCTATGTGTACACATGCAACTATGTCTATATGCACTTGGAGACCAATTCCTCACATTCAATGCAATGAGCATAGTAAAAGCATGCCTTTTAGACATGTAAAAATGGCTCACTTGGGATCTCCCTTACACCTGAGGCTGCCCCTGATAACCAGAACCCAGTGACATCACTCACCCAAGACAACCAGACACGATCCTAGACCCCATGACACCCACTGGACAGTGCATAAGCATTGACCAAGAACAATGCTGTGCTCTGCACATCTGGAGAGACACCGCCTTGATCTGCCTGCAGCTGGAGAGTATCCCCCAGGATCCTGTCCTCAAAGTAGACTTCTGTTAGAGCCTAGACCTGACATCCAGCTAAGATTTATCACACAGACACAGATGAGCAGCCTTGGGGAGAGAGGGTTAAGACCATAGTTAGGAACTTAGAGTGTGAACCTTCTGTGACGACCCTCAGCAAAATAAAATAGAACTCTTGTTATACTAACTAGAATATCTACTTTTACAACATGGGTTTTTTTTGTTTTGTTTTGTTTTTTGTTTGTTTGTTTGTTTGTTTTGAAAGATAGTCTTACTACTGTCACTGCCCTGGAACTCACTGAATAGGTGAGGTTGATGGACAGTGAGCCCCCGGGACTCGGTCTGTTTCCAGCTCCTGAACATGGAGAATACAGGCATATGACACCATTCTGGGCTTGGGCTTTTTAGCGGTGTTTGGGTATTGAACATAGTGGGAATGAACTGTCCTTGTGCTTAAAAGACACTTTGCCACCTCCCCAGGCTTCCATGCCACTTTTGGGCTACTGAACTTAGCTCTTCTAGTGTCAGTGGGGCATTCTCAAATGGTACACATTCACTTGCCTCCCCCTCCCCCAGTGCCTTCTGATGGGAGTATCAAGGAAGAGCTATCATTGATAGACACACACTTAGGATAAAACAAGATACCCATGCTACTATTCTCATTTTAGGCCTGCATGAAAAGAGTTAATCTCATTCACCTTATTGATTAGTAGATGTTTAGGACCCGAAAGACTCTTAGTACAGAAGCTGCTGAAACATCTCTCGATATAGCCCTGCCGGCCTTGAAATCTCGGTCTTCCTGCTTGAATCACAGGGGTGGGCAATCACACCTCGCCTTCATGATATTTTTTTCCCCTCTAAGAAATGTATGGGGTGTTTGCACCAAAATAAAGTTTCCATACAGCAATCTAGCCCAGCGCCAGAACTTCAAGAGGCCGCCATACCTTTGAAGGTAACGGACGGACCCACATAGCTTTCTGTGCCTGCAGACCCTTCCCAATGCTTAGGCAGGCAAGATTGATCCGGCGCGGGAAGCCAAGAGGCAAGCATTCCAGCACAATGTGCGGTTAGGCAGAACCCCAAGTAAGTATCCAAGAATAACCAAGCAAGTCACAAGGAGGCGGGGGTGAGGGTGGGGGCTGACTGTGAACTTTGCTGCAGGCGGACCTGTCACTCCAGCTGACAGCAAGAACATTCTACCTTCAAGTTCCTAAAGAAGGCGGGACACCCCAGACAGGGAGACTGGCTCCAGGGAAATGAACTCCTGGGGTTGTAAAGAGAAAGGAAATGGCCCAGGGGTGGTCAGCCAGACACCTGTGGGGCTGGCAGCTTTGCCAGGCTCAGGACAGTGCCAGGGACCCAGCACAACAGGCTCAGGCTACCTGGCCTCGGGCTCCTCCTCTGACTCGGCTTCCTCATCCTCGCCCTCCGACGACTCCTCCGTCTCCAGCTCCTGGGCCGCTGCCTCATCCGCACCCCAGCCCAGGAAACCCTCGGCGGAGAGTCTGCTGTCATCGCTCGCCATCGTGCCTGCCTGTCCCAGCCGGAGCAGGAGCCGCCCGCGCCGCACCCGATGTTCTCCGTCTGACTGCACTTTACCCTGGCCGGCGGGGCTGCTCGGGTTCCTGGCGCGCGGGGCGGGGGCGCCCCAAGCCTTTAAATAGAAGGCGTCAAGAAAGTTTCGCCACTGAACTTCTGGGGCCTGGGCTCAGCTATCCCTGGTCCCAGTCGCCTGCCAACTGCCCCGCCCGTTTTGGCAGATCTTCTGTGGCCTTTGGGACCAGGGCAGATTGCACTGCTGAGGGCTGCAACTGGCTGTCAAGAGACCCACCAGCCCAACCTTCCATCCAGTGATCTAGGGGTTTTTACACTTCCAGCTGAGCTGCTGGAAGATTTCTTTATGCCAAATGAGGCAGCACTCAGCCAAGGACTTGCTTCCCTTATTCGTGATCATGTTATGGCACCAGTGTGTAAATTGTTTAAGGTGACAATGGGAAACTTGCTAGATGTGCCAGATACAAGGACTCATTCTGTAAACCACATTCAAAAGACTCGGTGTGTCTAGGGAACAGAGATCTCACTGGATCATGTAAAGCCAGTGCTTAACCTCTCAAACACCGACTCTTTGAGTTCAAATCCTGACTAATCCACTTTCAGAAATCAGGTATTTACACCATACCAAATAGATTGCCTTCTGCCTCAAAGGCCTGGCCTATTTACTTACTCAAGATCATCACCTTTCTCTGAAATCTTGTTTAAATTCACTGCTCCTCTCCCCAGGACCTTAAAGCAGCCCACTAAATATGTATGTTGACAGACAGCAGACTTGTTTGTTCACCTTTGTCCCATCACCAGTTCTGAGAAGCCCTTAGGCTGGCCAGATACCTAAGGCAAACCAGTGTGTGTAGTGAATGCTTCTAAAAAGGCCAATAGAGAAGTTTTCTTTCCCATGAAAGGCTTTTGGACTAGAACTCCAAAACTTAATTTTTAATCACAGAAGATTCTGCTTACAGTCTGTAAAGGAGCCAGGAAGGTAGGTTATTATTCTCCAGCTTGTATGCTATACACTGGGCCTATGGACAAAGTGTAACTCAGCAGGCTCTTTTACCACCGATTTTTATCAAGATCCCATTTCAAATAACCCAAAACTTTGCATTGTTTAGAGTCCACACTTTTAGCACTAATAATACTTTAACACCACATAATATAGAAGTAGAACAATCAACACACACAAAATAAACTGTAGTATTCCCACAAAATTGAAATTGAAAATAATTTCCATCTAGCTCAATGGGTAGTGCACTTGCCCAGGAGGCAAGGGCTGAGTTCAATAGCCAGCACTGAAAATACATTTTAAAACCCATCTCATGTATGAACAACCTGCTTACCTGATACAGCTGGACTACCACATGTACAGGACCTTTGGTGCTGGGTCCATTAGTGCCAGGATGTGAATTTATTGGATTTGGGCCTACTTGTTACAACAAATCGGCTCAAAGTAGTAGGGTGAGGCCACCGAAAACTGAGAACAGGGTGGTAATGCAAGAGTCCACACTGTGGTTCATTCTGAGGCTTTATTCAATGTCATAATGCCGCAGAGCAGAGCAGAGCACCATCCCTAAGTGACCATTATTTACAAACATTACCTGGGGTCACCATTAAACTATCATACTCAATACTCAATACATGAGAAAGAGCTGCACAGCGTGGAGTAGATCGGAGTATTTCCAAGGAAAAGGATTCATATAGAAAACGCTTAACTGCATCCAAAGTACCACAGATCAGCAATCTAAGAACCCGCCCACATGGAAAGCTTTAGCCCCAATAAAGCCAGAGAAATACAGTAGTTGGCAGGCTTAACCACAGAATTGGAGTCAAACCAGTTCAGGAAAGTACAGCCCCAATTCCATTACAAAACCAATGACTTTCACAGAAAAATTACACCTCAACACTTTCCAGATATAAACTTTATTCCATTTGATAGCATACAAAAATTTAAACTTAAAAAAAGGAAGCGCACACCCCTTTGTAAGTCAAAGAAAGTGAATGTTTTAGTTTAATTGGTCTGCAAAATATGGTTCAGTGGTACAAATTGTTCCACCACAGGCCTACAAGAAGTTTGCAATTTTTGAAAAGTCAAAACTGCCTTCAAGATTACTTTTATGTAAATTTACAAGTACTGACCAATTTACAAATATTTACATAAACTAAAAAGTCTTAATAAACAGAATAGCTTGTATCTGAAGCTACTACTTTTATGTGGAAAAGAAATACTAAAAAAGATTTTTGTATAAACATTAAACTTTTATTTATAATTTTATTGTCTTATCTAAAACACTTTGTAGTGGCTTACTGCCTAAAAATTCCAGTTTAGATTATAATCCACAGAAATCTGATTCTACAAATAGGATATAATCTTAACTTTGATGTTTCAGTTTTCTGCTGTTTTCTAGCATGAGGAAAATAAAATCAGGAAAACGGAGGTAAAGAACAGTGCACACTGCACTATGCTATCAGAAAGCATAGGAAACTTCATTTCTCCAAAGTGTCTAAGTCAGAGACTTTCAAACAGTCCAGTAAGCAAGTCACTAACTGCTGCTAGTGTCCCTGTTACAACAGTGCAAAATGTATTGTTTCAACACAAAATCTAAAGCAACCTCCAGAGTCTACCAAAGCAAGGTGTGAAGTGCTAAGGGAACACCAGTGCAGACACATGTCAAAGCCAGGCTGGCCCAGGGACTCAAGTGAAGACTTAAGGCAATTGTCCAGCATTTCAAGACTCCATAGTGACGACACTGAATGAGAATTGCATTTGCTTCAAGTAACTGAATAACTGACTTGAATCTTCCCTTGACTAGAACTGAGCTAGACAAATGTCTACTGCCAGTTACACTGTAAATATGTATTACTTAGATCCTTTGCAAAATTCCACATGGTTCTTCAGTATTAGCATGTGGTACAATTATTTAAAATTATATCAAAACCTTATTAGTACAGATAATTTCTCAAAATATATTTTATGCTGAAAAGTCATGCCATAATACTACTAATCATCAATGTAAACATTTTCAAAAATACATTTTTAAATCAAAGAGTTTATTAGGAAATGTCATAATAAAATATGCAATCTTTATATAAGTATGTCCTTTTAAAAATAAAACAAAAACAATAACAACATTAAAAATAAACCATGATGGAGGTAAACAAATGCATTATGATGTAACTATTGTTCTTTATTTCTTGGAAGAGTTTAAGAATTAGAGGCCAGCTATCTCTTCAGGGTAGCAGCCCTCAAAGGCAGAACACTGTTCAGATCTCTCTTGTTTTTCAATCTGTGCCATGACTAGGAAAGGAAAAAAAAAAAAGTGAAAAATAAAAATCAATCTTAAAATACAAACTATGCACAGAACAAAAGACCAAATTTTACTGTATTATTAGTAGTGGTTCTATGTATGCAGAAATGTAGATTATTTTTCTTATTTTTATTTTCCAAGGTATGTTATTATCACCAGAAAAGAAACAATTATTTAATATTTTTAAAAATTGGGTACACAGGTGGCAAAAAAGCTACAAGTGACAATAACAATGTAACTTATAGATTAAATTATTTTATCTAAAATAGCAAAGTACTCCATTTGAATTTAAGAAGGGAAGATGAACTTGTTTTCTAGCTTTTTCAATTGAAAAACAGTATTTTTATGAAGGCAAAAGTAAATGTAAAATTGTGTATGCTCTGGAAAGTAGTGAAAGAGTTTATACGAAAAGATAATGCAATTCTTGTTCATACGCTAAAAATTCATATCACAATCTTATGAAGACATCAAGTAACTAAAAGTGTTGGTTTTACTGTTAAATAATCCTAGAGGAAGCTCACCCACTACCAAGAACAAGTGAGCAATACATAAGAAAAACAACGTTCCACTGTGCTTGTTGTGAGGCAAGGACTAGTTTGAAGAGAGCTTGGAGCACTCTATTTGCATTTTAATTACATGGAAGTCTGTCTGTTCCAATAATGAAAACATTGTCTCCAAAGCATCTTCAGTTTTCTGACCCTTCCCTCCTAGTTCTATCAATGCATTTTCAGTGTCATTCACTGCTGATAGGTACCTCACCTAGCAAAATTACTGGTGAATAAATAAATACTGTAGACACTAACACATAAATATATCTTTAGAGCCAACATGATATACTGATTACCTTTAAAAATTGATCCTTGATCATATCAAACTTCTGCTTTTCATGCACAGCTCTGGCGGTATTAGTTCCATCAAAAGGTTCTGCGTCATGAAATGCACAGGGAAAAAAAATTAGTACAATGGAGTTTTATTTTTTCCCCAGCATTGGGGATCAAACCTAGGGCCTCATATATGCTAGGTAAGTGTTCTATCACAAGCTATGTTCCCAGTCTAAGAACACTTATAGATTAGGTCCAATTATATGAAATTGTCCGTATGTCCACAGCCTCTGACTTACAAAAACAGCGAGTTCATATGGCTTAGCCTAACACAAAAGGTAGGTGGAATCAAATCAGAGGAATGATAGAAATGATCGGAGGTATAACTGAGTAGATAGGATTGCTAAAGATTTACAGATGGCCAAGGACCTATCCTTAGGGGAATCAAAAGTTACATAAAGAATGAAGCACTATATTTAAGAGAATGGCACAATGCCAGATATTACAGAAGGGTAAGCTTGAACTTAATTCTAATTTAAAAGCTGATTTTGTCCTGGAAGGAAAAGGTCAGAAACCTCTGAGTAGAGCAGTGGTCTTCAACCTTCCTAATTCTGCAACCCTTTAATGCAGTTCCTCATGCTGTGATGACCCTCCAACAATAAAATTATTTTTGTTCTTAACCTAGAGGCAGGAGGGCGGGCCTAGTCCCTACTCCAAATAACTCGACAGATTTTGTTGATCCCTCCTGGAAGGCATCACCCTCCCTGTGGAGTGTGTGTGTGTGTGGCGGGGGGAGAGGATGGGATAGGAGGGGGTTTGGGAGTCATGAGAGGGAGGGAGGGGGAACCGGGGTCAAAATGTAAAAGAAAAATAAATAAAAAATTATTTTTGTTGCAACTTTATAATTATAACTTTGCTACTATT